CGTTACCATTTAGACCCATTATTCAGCAAATTCCGCAAAAAATCACTAAAAATTCAACAAATTCAGCAATTCAACAGTAATTCAGTAAAAATTCAACAATAATTACTGTTTTAAGAAAATTCAGCAAATTCTGCTGTTACCATTTAAGTTTGATATTATTCAACAAATTCTACAAAAAATCAACAGTAATTCAGCAAATTTAGCAAAAATTCTGCGGTTACCATTTAGACCCTATATATGATTAATAGGCCCAAATAAGTGTAGTAACGTGTATTAGTAGTGAAGAGGAAAGGCAAGAGATTATATGAGATTTTGAAAGGCAAGAGAGAGGAATAGATTAACAGATATTCGCTTGACACGTATGATAATAACCGGCATTCCGGTTATTGATATTCGGTAATCTAATCTGAACCGGTCACACAGTCTCTTCCTCTCTCCTTTGTTCACACAAGAATCTTTGTCGTCTCCATTCGATCCGTTTGGGTTTTTGTTGCTGAATTGCTTTATGAATTGCTGAAATTGTAATCAGATTCTAAGTATTGTTTAGCAAGAGATGGACACTGATTCCAAGAGATTCATGTTTACGGTTTATCCCAATCTGGTGAGATTACCATCAAAATTTAGCCTCGGTTCCTTTGATTTTGTCCTTGGTGTTTGATTTACTTCTCCTGGGTCTTGCTTTGTTTACAATTGAAAATGGTGGGACTTGGTCAGTTTATAGTTAGGGCTTAAGTTGCTAACTCCTCCATTGATTAGAGCTTGTAAGTTAGAGGAATACGTAGCTTAAAGTATTTGTTTTTCTTTTGTATTGTTGATTTCTGAGGAATAATGATCAGTGTCTTGTTGATCAGTGTATATATGCTTTGGACTTGCGATAATTTCAAAGAAAAAAATAAGATCTTTCTCCACAGGACTTGGATGAAATTTGTAGATTTTTGATAGATATGCAAGAGTGAAGAGTGAGACTCAGCGTCAGATTATTCATGTTTTAGTTTCTGCTCCCTTTAAGTTGATTCAGACAAGTGGAAGTTTCAACAGAAGATGGGGAAGAGAAGACAAAAAAAATTTGAGTTTATTCAGTGGCTCTTAACATCAGCTATTTTCGATGAGGCCTAACCGAGCAACAACAAAGGTTGAGAAACGAAGGGGGAACTAAAAGAACCTTGTGCAACATCAGACTTAAAAGAATCTGGTAAATACAATGCTCTATTCCTACTTTTGTAGCTGAACCTAGAGAAACATGTTTTCATTGGAACCTTAATTCAACTGTTTAAGGTTTGAGAGGGAAAACAATGCTCAGGAGGAGGAGAAGACGAAGAAGAGCAAGAGACTGGCTTGTGATATCTATACCTATAGATCTGTTTGAGTATGTAAAAACCTAGAAGAACATGTTGCTTAAATTGCTTAGAAATGTTGTGATATCAAAGTTGATCAAATGCATGAAAAGCAGTAAAGATGGGGAGGTTTGGAAACACATTGCTGATGAAGGAAACAGAGCAATGAGTAAGTAAGACTGAATAATATCTTCTCTCTGTGTTAACCAAACTGATAAAGCTAGATTGAGAGTTCTAGAACACTAACCCAAAAGAAAAAAAGGTTCTGAGAAGATCTCCATAGTCACATCAGCTCGTTTGGTGTTTCTTCATTCCTCTTCTCCATCCTGGTAAAGAGCTGCATCATCTGGGATCGGTGATTGCCGTAGAAAGTTGATCATCTCATTATCATCCCACTCATCAGATATGTCGAAGATAGGCTCATGCTCATGCTCATGCTCTTGTGCTTGCGGTTGAAGTAAATTCTGGGAGACTAGAAAAATCTGCTGTTGAAGTGAATCCTGTGAGATTAGTAAATGGATGATAAGATATCCATTTGTCTTTGAGAGAAAATTCATATACATTTTAATTTGCTTAGTTAGTAGTATTAATTTGTTAATTGTTTGATTTAACTGTTTTAGCTTCATTATTATTGGGTTTTTTTTGTCTGAAACATTTCCAATTTACTTTATTAAATAGTTAATTGTTTGATTTGAACATAGTTCCGACTCAAACTCGAAAATAAATAAAAATATCCACCCCGATAATAGAGTAAACTGCTTTTTCAGTTACCGAGAAAACCAAATAAAAAACCGCTTTTTGATTTTTTACAAAACTTTCGTACCAAGTCTTTTTAAAATAATTTTTTATATCAGTCGTATCATTTTTCTATTTGGGATTAAGGGGTGTATTAAAATGAATTTTTATTGGATTTGGCGGAATTTATACCCATGCTAGATGTGAGTTTCTTTTATCAATGGTTTTTTATAAATTTGGAAATGTTAATTTTAATAGAAAAATTTCAAAAATGCCACTTTTCGAGTGCCACTTTACTAAAATGCCACATTTTTGAAATCTTTACAAAAATGCCACTTTTTCAAAATTATTTTTTCTTTATATTATTTATGTTTGGGTTAATTATGTTCTATTAGGGTTTAGTTTTGAGTGTTTAGAGGGTTTTAGGTGTCAAAACATTTTTTAGGATTTAAAATTTTAAGATATAGGCTTTATAAATCTATAATTAGTGGCATTTTTGTAAATAGACACCTCTAAGTAACATTTTTGCAAATATGCTCACAAAAATGGCATTTTTGTAATTCTTCTATTGTAATATTAGACGTATGTAATTGGATTAACATTTGATTTCCATCAACACGATTTTCGTGGTTCAACTTGTACTTATTCAATTAGAGTATACACCGAGGAATATGCATAGATAAAAAGAGTGATTTGCAAAAATAACCCAAAAACTTTTATAATTAGAAAAGTGGCTAAATTATGGGGTTTCCTTTGAAAAAACTATAGGGGGTTTGGTTATTTATCCAATATTGTAAATTTTTTTAGTCATTAAGTGCAAAAACTTTTGGTTTTTTAGTCATTAAGTGCAAAACAGTCAATTAGGTGAATAACCAAGTTAGAGTAGGAAATTAGGAGAATGACAATGATAAAACGTAAATGTTAGTTTTACTGTATTTTGTTAGGAGGTTAATTATTCTATGCCCCTCGGTTGTTTATTATCTATATTAACTCTATAAACTTTTAATAAATATCTTCCACGTTATTATATTATTCCCTCTCTTTATTTCGATTGATAACATTGCATAACTGGGAATGGCGGGAAAACAAATTGCCGAATGTTTTATTTTTTTGTATAATGAAAATTTGCGGCATAAAATTATTCTGCGATTGGATAAATTCAGCAGAATGGAGAAAACCAAAATTTATAAATATTTTTCTTAAGATATTATTTAATATATCATATGAGATCATTATAAATGTGGAATTTAAACAAAAACCCTTATAATAAACTTTTAAATATTAGAAAAAGAGCAATTATTTTTTATTTATTTTTGAAAACATTTATAATGATACATAAAAAAAATCTAATAATGTTATGTAACCCAAATCAATGAAATCTCAATTTTAATAATTTATAGTCGAACGCTTAATTAGTGTGATTATTAATATTGAATTATTTTTTCACATAAAAAACTAGAATTGAGTTTTTTCCATTCCGCAGGTTTTCTCAGATTAGGTGAACTTATTCGTTGTACACTTAATCAAAGCATACGCGCAGGTTTTCTCTTGTTGGTTAAAAC